GGTGAGTCAGGGAGAGCCCAGCCCTGTGGTGAACACAATTTTCCAGGCAGGATTTGCCGTGGGAAGCAGCAGATGTGGGATGGAGAGGGGAGAATGGGGAGGCTGCAGCTTTTTGGGRCACCCAGGAGCACATGGGAGCCATGTCCAGGCACAGGAGTGGGATGAGGACAGAAAAAATCAACGTTTGGGTAGCCAGGGGTTCAACTCAGCAGCCACTTTGTTGTGGATGAGCCTCTGCCATTGTTGGTGGTCTGCCTTGGTCGCTGTTCCTCCAAAAAAAGGGAGCTGGGATGTCTTTCCTGCCCTTTCTGTGCCCCCAACTGGGGAAATTGCACTGAATGTAGAGAGAGAATTTGRTATCTTAATGAGGAGCACTGCAGAATTTGAGTTCAGGAAATCTGGCTCAGTACTCAAGACTCTGGGAATTATCCTGACCCAGGGAATGCTGTGCTGGTGGTGCCAGTGGATGAATTTAGGGAATGAGGCTGGGCAGCCGGGATGTTCCATTGTAGGGRAAGAAATGTGGAGAGCAGAGTTCTCTTTGGGGAGGTTTCAGTGTTTCACTGGAGTTTTTGGTGGCTCCAGCTGCTGCTTYCTGGGGTGCTGCAGGGAGGATGGCCTGGGGCAGCCCTGTTCCATCCCATGGGGCCAAGCTGTCCCATTTTCCCAGGATTCTGCCTGACTCCTAGCTGGGATCAGCACGGCTCCACCATCAGCTCTGGCTGACCCTGACTTCCCAGGGCTGACAAAACATTTCCCTTGAATTTGGGGGAATTTTGCCACCAAGGAATTTTTTGAACAACTGACAAAAAAAAGCCTGAAAAGTGCTGCTGCTTGCCCTTTTCATTGCTTTGGGTGTCTGTGGCCCCATTCCCCGGTGTTGGCTGTTGCTTCATCCCAGCAATGAGGGGCTAAAAATCCCCTTCATCCTTGCACAGCTGAGCTGCTGGGAAAACCAGAAGCTGACAGAGTTTAGCTTGACCTTTTTTTCAAAAAAACCCTTTTTTCATGCTGTTTTGATTCCCAAATCAGCTGAAAAATCTGAAATACAATTTGTTGTTCTCCCCCAGCATTACAACACCTCCCTCCTCGCCGCCGCTGCCGCCGCCGTGTCCGCCTCTGACGACCAGGAACTGTTGCACTCCCGCTTTTTCCCCTACACTTCATCCCAAATGTTCCTGGATCAGCTCAACGCCGGGGGAAGCAGCTCCCTGCCCGCCACCAATGGCAGCAACAGYGGCAGCAACAGCAGCCTGGTGTCCTCCACCAGCCTGCGGGAGAACCACGGGCACCCCGTGCCCAGCAGGAGCAGCACGGACACCGCCTCCATCTTCGGTATCATACCAGACATTATCTCCTTGGACTGATTTATTTTTA